GTCTGAGGTTCTTTGCTCTCTCACGGGTGAGTGACTGTTCTTGGTGATGCATACTGGGTTGCCTTTTGCCTTAGTGGGAGAAAGGTAGTGGTCTCTGGGGGCTGCAGCCTCCTCCTCTGGGGGCTCAACACTTGGTGCTGTGCTTGGCCTGATGTGTGTGATGTCACAGGCTGCAGGCAGCAATAGAGGCTATGTGTGTGAGTGATGAAGGTGGAGAGGCCTGGGTGGGCTGATGCAACAGCAGACTCGTTACTGATTCCAATCAATTAGCCTTATGGCTAGCTGCAGTCATGGCCCCTGGGATGCATTTACCAACCCTTGCTCTGTTCCAGACCATTCTCTGCTTAGAAGGTGACTATGCATGTGTGGAGCTGCTCACCATTAACAGCTTCTCAGAAGAGAATATTTTTATAGTTAATAAGCTCCCTCATTATTAACTGTCTGTGCTCTTTAGCTCTCCCTGTGTGGGGAGGAGGCTCCTATTCACACAAGTGTGTGCAGCTCGATCAATATTGTCACATCCTCTCCAACTCAGCTTCCTGCTGGCAGGGATAGAACATGCAACCCAGTGTGTGTTGTTATCTTCTGATGAAAATAGTCTTCCTCAGTTCTGGAGGGCAGGAGTGTGCAGAATGGAATGCCTGTCCTGATTACTGTATTTGAAGAAACTCTTTTTATTGTCCCTCGAAGTTCTACCCAGCTTCAACTCCAGTTGAGCTTTGGCTGTATGAACTTTCCCCTTCAGTAGCAAGCAGCATCTCTGTATTCCTCCCATGTCACCTCACCTTGCTTCCACTGAGCATACACCTTCCTTTTTTTGCCTTGCCTTCAAAAGTAGGTTCTTGATCAGCCAGACTGGCCTTCTGCCTCATCTGCCGGACTTCCAACGTTTAGGAATTGCCTGTTCCTGTGTCCTTACGAGGTGATGCTTAAAAAATGCCCAGCACTGATGGACCCTAGCACCTTCAAATGGTGCTGGTCTAGTGCCAGTTAGGAGGCCCTGCCTGCCACAAAGCTGAGTGCTGGCAGCTGCACTGCCTGGGCACAGACTCCTGGATGGAGTGTGTGCCCTCTCACAGCAACCCTAGGAGCTGAAACAAGGATTTTACTCCCACACCCCATGGGCTTGACAGCACTTCTTTTATGTGAAGTGGCAGCAGATAAGTTAGTTTGACACTCACAGTGAAGCGCAATGTCACGCCTGTCTGGTCCCATCTTCCTGATCCTCAACAGGAGGGAGGAGATGGTGAGAGGTTCATGCATGGCTCCTGCTTCTGAAGGTGATTTGCTCAGCAGAGTCCATGCCCAGGGCTCAGTGTTTGCTCTGGCAGAGCTGCTATTCTTTCTAGCATCCCCCATTTTCAGGTCCTGGCTCTTCATTCCCAGGGTGGGCCAATGGGGAGGGAAACCTCAGCTGGTTGCTCTTTTCCAGGAGACTGGCCCTGCTTGCTTGTTGTAGATGAGTCAAGTGGGTGGAGATGCCATGGCAGGGCTGTGTGATCAGCTGTGAGGTTCAGGGGAGAATGCATGTGGGTCACTGGCACTGGAGCTAGGAAGAGCCTGGTGTACCCTGCTCCTAGGGAGCAGCAACCAGCAGCAGGATTGTGCCCACTGGGGTCACAAGGAGAGGTGTGGGGATGAGATGTGTATTGGCTTTCTTCCTCCAGACACTTGATCCTGGCAAAATCCATGAATCCATGAGTGCTCAGCCCGAATGTGACAGTGCTGGGCTGTATCCTCAATCCATGGCTTAGACAGGAGGGAGCTACTGGTGTTTCAGCAAGCCACAAAGGCAGAGTCAAAGTAGTAGAAGAGTTGGTTCAAGAGGTAATCCCACTGCAACACCTGCCAAGAGTGCTGGGGTGGCTGGAGGTTTTTGGGGCAGCTGTGAGAGGCAATGTCTGTTTGGGTGAGGTATGCTCTGACAGAGCATGTACTAGGGAAAGCTCTAGACACTGACTTCTTACTTCTGTGCTTTGAAAGGCCCCAGCTGCCTTCTGTTTTAATAAAGCACACCTGTTTCCAAACAGAGCTCTGACTCAATAAAATTCTGAATGTTCAAAAGGACTATGAAGTATTAACAAGACCTTAGGAGCTCCCATGTGAAATGGATAGGGGGCTGTTTCTGGGCACAGTGTTAGTGATATTGCTGCTATTCTTTTGTTAAAGGTGAAGATGAGGAACAGTGAAGATTCTTGGTGCACACTTGGCATGGCAGAGGTTCTGTCAGAGAGGCTCAGACCTCAGTGAGTAAGATTTAGTTGCTGTCCAGTGATCTGGAAGGATTGCTGGCTGGTCCTCCTGCTGTCCTTGCAGCGAGGCATGAACAGTAGGTGAGGCTGATGTGGGTATGGTGCTGAGTCCTCAAAAGCTTGGGCAATCTTTAGGTTCTGCCTGTGTCTGGAGAGGTCTGTGTCGTGGTTTAACCCCAGCAGCAGCCAAGAACCATGCAGCCTCTCACTCACTCCCCCACCAACGGGATGGGGGAGTGAAT